GTACATATACCACAATTTATTGATCTATTCATGGATTAATGGGCACTTGGACTTCTTCCATGACCTAGCAATTATGAATTGGGCTGCAATGAACATTCTGATACAAATATCTTTATTGTAGTGTGATTTTTGGTCTTCTGGATATATACCTAGTAGAGGAATTATAAGTCACTGTCTTTTTTATGGCTGAATAGTATTCCATGGTATACATATACCACAGTTTTATAATCCCTTCCTGAGTTGATGGGCATTTATGTTGTTTACACATCTTGGCAATTGTAAGTTGAGCTGCGATAAATAATCTAGTACAAATGTCCTTATGATAAAATGATTTTTTTTCTTCTGGGTAGTTGCCTAATAATGGGATTGCAGAGTCAAATGGGAGGTCTAATGTGCATTCTTTGAAGATACTCCATACTTCTTTCCAAAGAGGCTGGATGAGTTTTCAGTCCCACCAACAGTGTTAAAGTGTTCCCTTCTCTCCACATCCTCAAGAGAAGAGATGTATCCTTCTATTGCCTGATTGCATTGGCTAGAATTTCCCAAGTTTGCATCTGCAACTTTGGGATTTTGTGATGTGGGCTAATCTTACTGGAGTTAGGTGATATCTCAGGCTGATTTTGATTTGTATTTCTATGATGATTAGGGATGATGAACATTTTTTATATGTTTGTTAGCCGTTTGTCTGTCTTCCTCAGAGAAGGTTCTGTTCATGTCTCTTGCCCAGTGATGGGATTGTTGCTCTTTTTTGTTGATTAATTTGAGTTCTGTACAGATCCCAGTTGTCATGCCTTTGTTCAATTTATAACATGCAGGTGTCTTTTCCCATTCTGAAAATTATCATTTTGCTTTAATTGTTATGTCCTTAGCTGTGCAAGACCTTTTCAGTTTAATTAAATCCCATTTGTTTATTTTTGTTGTTGTTGCAATTGCCACTGAAGTCCTTTTCTTAAAATCTTTCTCCAGGCCAACATCCTCAAGAGTTTTTCCCATACTTTATTCTAGGATTTTTATCATATCATGTCTTAGATTTAAATCTTTTATCCATCTGGAGTCAATTTTTGTAGTCAATTTTTGTAAGTGGTGAAAGGTGCAGGTCCAATTTTAGTCTTTTACATATGGTTATCCAATGATCCCAGCACCATTTATTGAACAGGGATTCTTTTCCCCAGTGTCTGCTTTTGTTTGGCTTACCAAAGATCAAATGGCAACTAGAGAGAGATTTCATCTCTTGGTTTTCTATTCAGTTCCAAATATCTATGTCTCTATTTTTGTGCCAATACATGCTGTTTTGATCACTGTGTCTTGTAATATAACCTAAAGTTTGGCAGAATGATGCCTTTGGCTTGTTTTTATTACTAAGAATAGCCTTGACTGTATGGTTTTTTTTCTGGTTCTATACCAAATGAAGAACTATTTTTTTTTCCAGTTTTTCAAAGTATTATGTTGGTATTTTAATGCCGGTTGCATTGAATCTGTAAATTGCTTTGGGAAGAATAGACATTTTAACAATGTCGATTCTTCCCAGCCAAGAGCATGGTATGTTCTTCCATTTGTTAATGTCTTCTGCTATTTCTTTTCTTAGGGTTTTATAATTCTCTTTATACAGGTCCTTCATCTCTTTTGTTAGGTATATTCCTAGGTATTTCATTTACTTTGAAGCTACTGTGAAGCTACTCTTTGGTTAGGTATATCCTAGGTATTTCATTTACTTTGAAGCTACTGTGGTCCTTCATCTCTTTTGTTAGGTATATTCCTAGGTATTTCATTTACTTTGAAGCTAATTGTGTCCTTGCTTCTTAACATGGCTGTTTTTGGTATATACAAAGGTTACTGATTTGTGGACATTGATTTTATACCCTGAGACATTACTGTACTTCTTGAATATATCCAGGAGTCTTGTGCATGAGTCTCTGGGGTTTTCTACATATACAATCATATAATCAGAAAAGAACGAGAATTTGACCTCCTCTGCCCCCATTTGGATGTCCTTAATATCCTTCTCTTGCCTGATTGCATTGGCTAGAATTTCCAGTACTATGTTTAATAGTAGTGGTGATATTGGACATCCTGTCTGGCTCCAGTTCTAAGTGGAAAAGCTTTCAGTTTTACTCCATTAAGTATTATATTAGCTGTCAGTTTGTTGTAGATGGCTTTGATCAGCTTTAGAAAAGTGCCCTATGCCTATATTCTTAAGTGTTCTTGTTAGGAAAGGATGCTGAATTTTGTGAAATGCGTTGTTTGCATCTATTGAGAGGAACATACAGTTTTTGGGTTTGCTTCTATTGATATGGTGAATTATATTTATGGAGTTGCATATGTTAAACCAGCCTTGCACCCCTGGCATGAAGCCTACTTAATCATGATGTATAATTTTTTTAATGTGTAACTATAATATTTTGGCTAAGATTTTATAGAGTATTTTTGCATCAACATTCATTAGTGAAATTGGTCTGTAGTTCTCTTTTTTAGTTGGGTCCTTTCCTGGTTTTGGTATTAGGGTGCTGTTTACTTCATAGAATGTGTTTCTCTGTTTTCCGGTTATTTCATTTGTTCATTGTTTATTTACTAAACATTTATTGAATGCTCACTGTGTCCTAAACACTCTGTGGATACTAACCAATGTTTATGGCTTCTGGGGCTACTGCCTCTGACTGTTCTTGGGTCACCCTTTGCATGGGGCATAGTGTATTCTCTCTCATCACCCCTGTCAAGCACCACCAATATGAGGCTGTTTTGTGCCAGACTTTTCCTAAGCTTTTGACAGAACTAGTAATAGATAAGCATTGGAGAGAAAGAATTTAGCATATGAATACAAGCATAAAACAAGAAGTAATGGATAATTAAATATTAAACATCTTATGGTTCATGGGGCATCTGTTTGGAGAATTCTTCACTTTGTCCAAGGGCCCACCTGCTGCTATCTTTTGGAACTGTCTCTTCCTTTTCCTGTCTCTCAGTATTTCTAATTATTCCTCAGCCTTTCCAGTTCCTTTTGGAAAGTAAGATTTTACTCCTTTTCCCTAGCCCCAGATTTGGAAACTATAACCTCCTGTTATTTTATAATGAAAAGTAATTTAGCTATCTCTGTCTCTTTCTTACTCATACAAATCACGCAGGTCAGGAGTTAATTTGCCTAGTCAAGTCATGGAGCTATTTTACTTCCTTCCCCCCAAAAGAGTACTCCCCTTATTTCCAGAGCAACAAGTTTTAAAATATTTATTTTCTTCCTTACCACATTTGGATTTTGATGAGATCAAATCTCTCCCAAATAAAGGAAGCAAAGAGGAGATAATTCTGACTATAATAATACTTTTTCTGTAACTTAATAAAATGATCTTAAGATTAATTTGGGCTGAAAAATTAAGACCAAAGAACAACAAGACAAATCTTAAATAGAAAAAAGTAAAAGGACTATCTCTACCAAGGATTTAACTTAAATGCTTATTTTTCTAGGGGAAGAATAAACAAATGGAAAAATAAAACATAAAGTCCAAAAACAAATCTAAGAATACAAAAATATTTAGAGTATAATAAACAAAAAATACCAAAAGAAAATATAAGCAAATATTTATATAATCTTGGACTAAGGGAAGGGTCTTTCTGCCATGATGAAAAAGGGAAAGCTCTTTAAAAATAAGAAAAATGAAATTCCAGCATGTTCTATGGCATGAATAAACCTTAAAAACATTATGCTGAGTAAAAGACCCAGACACAAAAGCTTACATATTTTTGTGATTCTGTTTATATAATATGTCCAGAAGAGGACAATCCTTAGAGACAGACAATAGATTAGTAGCTGGCAGGGTCTTGGGGTAGGGAGAAATGGGGAGTGACTGATAATAAACATAAGAATTTCTTTTCAGAGTCATAAATATATTCTGGAATTAGGTGGTAGTGATGGTTGGACGACTTTTGAATATACTACCAGCTGCTGAATTGTACACATTAAAGACTAAATTTTTATGTATAAATTATGTCTCAATAAAAAATTAAGATAAACCAATTCCACTTGGGATGTCATGAGAAAAACCAGCATGCCAATAGATAATGGTTAATGAATATGAATTAAAATTTTTTTAAAGACAAATGACAAATATGAAAAATGCAAATTAAATCAGTAGGATAGAATGTTACCTATTTGCTTAGCAAAGATGAGAAGAAATCATAAATTTCCCTCACTGGGAAGTTTTTAGTCTAATGGTTATTCTAATATGCTGGTATTGATGGAGAGGAAGTTGACAATATGTACATTTCTTAAGTCTTAAGTTGTGTCCTTGTGTTTCCATTTCTAGGAATTTACCTTAAAGAAATATTATTTGCTATTTAAAATAAATTAGTAACATAATAGTATAATAACAACACAAGAAAATGTTTCAGAGAAATTAAAATGTATAATACATAAAATAAAACATCAATATAAGTGCACACTCAGGAGGCTAAAGAGAGACTCCAAATGTGAGCAACAATCACTTTTATGTATTTTCTTGTTTACTCTCAGGTATATTTTCTGTTTACCTATATTTTTCAAATATTTCACACTGGAAACATCCTTCCAATTAGAAAATCATAGAAAAGTTATTTGAAAGCATATAATTTCAAGCTCTCTAGTTTGGTTTGTTGTTTTTGTTTGTGAGCACTTTAGCAGAAATGAGATTAGAAAAGAATTTTTTTATTCTCTTTTTAAGACTAGAGATTCGGGAGAGATTCATGAAAAGGCTACACAAGTTCTGGCGCCGTTTTCTCACTTGCCAGCTGCCCATGAGAGTTTCCTTCGAGGGGGGGTGTATAGTTTCAGGATTTGATCAGTTGATGTGTTGGTAATTTGGTAACACAGACCATTGTAAATTAAACTGTTGTATATCCAGTCTAAGATTTTTCCTCTTAACAGACAGAAATTTTAGGCTTTGCAACCAGGAGCACCTAGAATGGAGTTCTTTCTGATTATTAAATTATGTTCCTCACATGTAACAATTTTCTCCTCCCAATTTCCTAGACAGAATCATGAATAAACTGGAGGATCAGCAGGACCAGATGATACCATGAAGAGAAGTTTACAGGCCCTCTATTGCCAACTGTTAAGTAAGTTAATACTACATTTCCTTTTTCCTAAAATATTCTAAAGTTAATTGTTTGCCAAGTCAAAAACTTACACACTTTAAGAGGAAGACCAGGGTTGGGTCAGAGAGGGAGGCCAGTGAATTTTCCTTCTGCTTCATCTAGGTAAAATATCAAGCATTAAATCTTTTTAATGCCTTGGACATCAGTTGTAACACAGACTCCATTATAATAATTCTAAGTTGACATGTTAACTATAGTTAATTTGAGAATGAAATGACGTGGCTGCCCTCAGTTTTGTGGTCTTCTAGCATAACCCTGTATAGTAGTGATTTTTAACTGGTATGCTGTGAAAATTGTTAAAGAACATCAATTAAATTAGTTTTGAAAGAAGTTCAAGGCGCAGTAAGTATATTCTCTTTTTAGTCTTGTTTTTCTTTTTTTTGATCAACATAATTTAAGTGCACCGTGAAAGCGTAACTATAGGCTCAAGTGTGCCATGAGATTAAAAAAAAAAAAAGTTGAAAAACACTGCTCTATAGGTGTCTCATTGGGGATAAGTGGTAGGTTGTGTTTTCTGGTTTTTCACATAGAACCTGTTATATCCAGTGACTGTCAGCCTTTGGCTTGGAATGTTAAGTATACCTGCACGTGTTCTCAGATAAGGCGTGGTGAAAACTTGACTTCTTGGGGTAGCATAAAGAGTGTTCCATTATAACTTTATGCATGTTGCTCTTGCATTTGGGGGATTTTGCCACAAAGTACCAGTTGCCTTTTAGTGACTATATATCCTTTGAGATTAGAATTGCTACTGGAGGAAGGTAAAAGGCCATAACAATTGGTGAGTTTGATGTTCTGATTGACCCAGTGAGGACAACAGGCATTACCCACTCCAGGTCTAACCAAAGCCATTGTGTTAGAAAATTAGGAATTCATTGTCTGGTCCTGTGCTGAGGTGAATGAAGTACCTATCTTTCCTACACTGAGTGGCTCCTTGTTAACTTTCGCTGAGAAAATAAAATGAATAAAATACAAAGAGATTGAGATGCAAATCACTAGTCAGTCAGCCCTTAAAATTTAGTAATTCAGTTTATGTTGCTCTCACAGTGCAAAGCACTTTATCTAAAGACAGCATTCTGGCTGGGTGTTTTAATTGACTCATTTATTCTGCTGAATTCTAATCCCTGAAACACATATCACGGCAGCCTGTTTCAGCCTGGTGGAAAGTCGCCAAGAGTTATGGGGGTGCTCGCATGTTCTTTCTCCATGTGTTCTATGGGACTGTGGGTTTGGTGCTTTTTTAAAAAATAAAGAAAAAAAGATAAATTTTTTTGTTAGAGAAAAAGCTTTCCAGATTGAAGACGTAATGCCATCAAGGAGGGATTAACTCTGCCTTGATGGGAGAGGAGACATTTAAAAGATAAATAGGATTTTATATACACACATGGGTACACAGCCCTGAGAAGTGCAAATACTGAGAGTACATAGTTTCCTGCTGGTTGGGAGACAGGTAGTGGCCCTTACCAAACTACCCACATTATTGGCATGCATGCACCTCTAATAACTCATATATGTCATTGTTTAGCCATTTATTCAGTTATGCCTATATGTACATTGTCCACAAACAAAATGTTTTTGCCATATCAAAAATGGATATGAGAACTAAAGAGTCAACACAAACTTACAATGTTATTTTATGTAACTCACAAACTGATATATTTTAATTAGAAAAAAAGAACATGATTGAGTGTTCTGGTTATTCATGGTTACATAAAAAACCTACTCCAGGGTAGCGCCTGTGGCTCAAGGACAGGGCGCCAGCCCTGTATGCCAGAGGTGGTGGGTTCAAGCCCAGCCCTGGCCAAAAACGGCAAAAAAAAAAAAAAAAAAAAAAGCCCTACTCCAATTTTTGTGCCTTAAAGCAAAAACAGTCATTTATTTTGTTCGTGAATCTGCACTTTGAACAGGGCTTGGCAGAGTCTCTGCTGCATATCATTTGGGACCTGAGCTGGAATAACTCCAATAGCAGGATCTGGCCAAGCATGTCTCTCTCCCTGAAGCCTTCTCACACGTTCAGTTTGGACTTTATGCACAGCCTTGTGGCCTCAAGGTGGTCAGACTTCTTACGTGGCAGCTCACCACCGTGATGCTGGGGCAAACTTATAAAGCTATTGTGAATTAAATTTTGAGGTCTCAATAATACTTAAGCCACATTGTACTATTAATGCGACAAAAATCGCTGGGGCCTGAAGAGCAGGAAGTGATGAAACCTAAGGAGCTTGGAGTAGCAGCTAAGTAACTTGTGTCTTCTTTGTCATGAACAGCACTCCAAGCCAGCTCAAGAAAAGCAGGCCACTAGAACTGCAATCTTTGTCATTTATTCTATTGAAAAGAAAAAACAGCCTCTTTCTGGATCACCGTGTCACAATCACCAGTCACTAGGGCTCGTATGTGCCCAGTGGGGGCTGAGTGATATAGTCTTTAGCAAGAGGGCAACTGAGGTTTTAATTTTTTACTTCTATTACAACCAACTGTCTCTGCCTTGGTTTTTATTTCTTGAGCTCTACTCCACAGTGCCGTATTGTTTCATCCTACCAGCTTTAGCCCTTTCAGAACATTTAATACATTTTCTATGATACCTTAGAACAACTGAGAGCCTGAAGATAGTGGTGATAGCGAGAATACTGTCATTCATTTTTCTTGTTGAACCCTAAGTAATCCATTAGCTGTGAAGCTAGCATTAAGAATACCTGAATTTTTGAAATAGTAAACCAGTTCAAATTTTAGTCTTACCCCTTTTTAAGTGGCTTGCTTTACATTACTTAATCTCCATGTGAAATGGGATGTGACCACCCCACTACCAAAGGTGGATTGAGTGAGATAACATGGCAAGTAGAAAACCTACAAAGGATGCCAGTTCCCTTATTGGCCTTCCTGTCTGGAAGAGTTGAGTGCAGCCTACCCTGGAGCTCTACCGTAACTAACATTTTATTTGTGTAGGACCTTCTGGTTTGCAAAGCATTTTCCCGTGATTTGACCCTCACGACTTTATTAAGGCAAATGAGGCATTAATTATATTGACCTCATTCTGCACAGGAGAGAATTGACATAATCAAGGCTGCCTTTCCAAAGCCACATCACAATTAAAAAAAAGTGGGGGGGGCATTTAATAATGGAAGGTAAGGCACATCATCACAACCCCCTAAGAACATGACACTGCTGGGGAGGCATGGGTCTGAGTAAGCAGGTGTGGTCTTTACCTAGGTGCTGTACACTGGGAAATCACTGTGTTACTTCATTATTAACACTAACACGTCATTATGATCTTATTAGAATATCAGAGTTGTTTGATTTAAGAAGTGATTATGTTTAGCAACTTAAATGTTTGCTGCACCCCCAGGCATTTGAATTTCTTAAATCATGCTCTGTATTATTTCTAGATCTTTCTTCCTCACTCACATACCCTTTGCATACTCTGATCTGTGTTGACCACACAAAGTAACCCTTTGCTTAACTGTCTATAGGTCCCTATCTTAGGAGGAGGAGGAGGAAGAGAATGCCAGGTGTGGATTTAGGCTCCTAGCCTGTAGAAAATAGACGGGAAACTATACCCCCTTTTCTGCTGTCTTAACCAGGGCATGGAAAGCGGGTCTCGGGCTCAGATTTGATTCATGCACACATGCACACATGCACATACCATGTCCCTATTACTTGCCTCTCAAGACTCTCCCCGGAGTAACAAGAAGCTGTTTGGGAGTAGAGTTCATTTCCTCTTGGAACCTATTTTTGGATGGGGTGATCTGCCTCATGTGTGATCTCTGAAGCTAAGCAGGACCCTTGAAAATACTTTAAAGTGAGAAAATTATCTTCAGTGCCTTTTTAACTCTAACTAGCTCTTCTTGCCCACAAGCTACCAAGTGACTTTATTCTTTTCTCCAGCTATGTCTTAGACTTAGAATATCCATACAGTAATATATTCCACAAAGGACCAACATTTTTCCTGTCTTTTCCCTTCCATGCTTATCCTAGACCCAATGTCTCCCACTGTGCTCCCTCCCCAGGCCAGTTGTCTGTGATCTGAAGTTCTCAGATGTTCCTTTAAGATAGAAAGTAATCTGACTAAAGTAATTAATACCAATTGTGCTCATTGGTTAGTGTTAAGGAGTTCTTCCCTCCTTAACTCTTACGGGTATTTGCATTTTTAAAGAGATTAGTTTTACTATTTTTGTTTTTGTGAGACAGAATCTCACTTTGTCACCCTTGGTAGAGTGCTGTGGCATCATAGCTCACAGAAACCTCAAACTCTTAGTCTCCCAAGTAGCTGGGACTACAGGTACCTACCACAATGCCCAGCTATTTTTAGAGACAGGGTCACACTCTTGCTCAGGCTGGTCTTGAATTCCTGAGCTCAAGCAATCTGTCCGCCTTGGCCTCCCAGAGTGCTAGGTTAGGCATGAGCCACTGTGCCCAGCCCTAGATTTACTATCTTAATGCAAACCCAATTTTGTTATCATTTTAAACAGCGTTGAATACAGTAGTATAAAAAAGTAAGCTCCCCAGAGCCTGCCCATTTGCCTGGATCTCTCTGTGCCATGGGTCTGGAATCTTCCCATCCTTTCTCTTCATGACATATTCCTTTTTGGCCAGCTGACACCAGAGATGGTCTTCCTGTACCTTTGTATCCACTCACATTTTCCAACCCCAAATACCTGAAGTCATCCTTGGCTTGCGGTCTGCCTCCCCACCCCCACCCCAATGCATTTAGATACTAGGTTCCCATTGACTCTAATATAGGAATCCATACATGTCTGCATCGCCAATGTCTCCTCTTTAGAGAAGGGCTTCCTGTGTTCCATGTCTTCCTGGACCAGTGTAGTAGTCTCCCTGCTGACTTGTCTCATCCTCACATTACTGCAGAATCAGCTACTGATAACCTTAAATGGTTTTGCATTACCAAAAGCAGCAGTACTCACAGTGTGGTCCAAGAATCCCTCTGAGACCTTTCAAGGAATCTGTGAGGGCCT